AGAGGAGTGGGGACGTGTGTACCATGCGGTCCCTCTCATGGGACACCTCACTGAATGCCTTTTTGCTGGAGCCTTATTCTCTACCCCCTTTGCACACCTTGAGGCCATGCCCTATTCGCCTTCCTGAGATTTTACTGGGCTCCTGTCTCTCCCCATCCGCTGGGACATCACCAACGGGATTCTCCGTCCCCAGACAGAGCGAGTGCTCAGCTCGCTGTCCCCGCCCTCCAGAGCCAACCCTCTGTGTCCCTGCTGACAGCCCTCCTGACCTCCAGGCCGACAGCTGTGTCCCTCTTAGTCAAGGCACAGCCCAGAAAGCAGGAAGTAGTCCAAGAAGCGTAAGCCGGAAGGGATTCCATCTAAAGCCCCCGGACAGCCTGGAGGCGCGGAAGGCAAGGACCGTGACGGAACTGACCGAGGTCAGAAAGCTGCCACCACCAACAGCACCGTCACCAGGCCACTGCCTAGCGCCCAGAGCTGGGGGCCAGACCCGGGACATGGGCTCGGCAGCCGCAGGTGTCGCTCGGGACTGGCCAGCCACCAGCTCTGCAGGAAGACACCTTCTCCTGGAGCACAATCTAAATTACAGCCGGGAGTCTGGCGACGGACCATCGGAAGTGAATGGTTCATCTCGCGCTGCCTGTGGGGCGGGAAGAAGGGGTGCCCAGCGCCGAGAGCCCGAGCCCGGGACAGCACATGTGGCTTATCAGCCAGGCGGCTTATCGACAACAGAAATGCATTTCTGGAAGCTCTGGGGGCCGGAAGTGAGCACAGCCAGGCTCTGCTAAGAGCGCCGACCGGGCTGCAAACTTATTGTGTCCAATCGCGGCAGAGAGTGGAGAGAGAGAGAGAGCTGGACAGCTCTCCAGCCTCTTCTAAGCGCACTGATCCCGTTTGTGAGGCCCCCCCACAACAGCCCATCAACTCCCAAAGACCCCACCTTCTCATGCCACCCACTGGGATTGGGGCTTCAACACGGGAGCTGGGGGGACATAAAGCACGGCAAGGATGCGGGCGGGGGTGGGGAAGAGCCTTCGCCTCTGCAGCAGTTCTGAGACAGTGCGGGAGAGCAGGGCTGCGGCGGCTGAGGCTCGAGGCAGAGCCCCCTCCTCCCCGGGCCGCCCGCTCTGGCAGCTGGACTGATGCTCAGGGTACTTGTGTTAACAAAGCCTTCTTAGACTCACCTCACTGACTGTGGACCCGGGGCTGGGGCTCGCGGGACCCCAAGTTACACCTTCTGCATGGGCACAGTTCCGAGAGCTCAGAGCTGAGCCCTGTGGGCAGCAGACACCTGCCCCGCCTAGTGTCCAGCAGCAGGTGGGGACCCGGCCTGGGCGTCACGAGCTGGGGGGACCCAGTGGCGGGGTCTCAGTTCGGTAACTCCCATCATCGGGACATGGACTCTGTGCCCCCCCCGGAATTAGGATACTAGTGAGATGGTGAGAAGTGGGGGAGCCCCAGTAAGTTGGGAGTGAAGAGGACCAGTCACCTGGGCCGGGCTAACCTGAGCCAGGATTTATTCTATTCTGGCTCCTCCATCTTGGACAACAGCCCCCTCTGGCATTGCCCGATTTAGCCACACCCTTGGATAGATGTCGATTCTAAGTTGATCTCTTACATGGAATGGCCCTAAAGATATCCACCAAAATGTCCACACGTACTTCTCTCTGGATTAGACAGATTGATACTAAAGTTCTCTGGAAACATATGTGTGCAAGAAAAGTCTGGAAAATGCAGGAAAAAAGAGCTGTAAGGAGGGAGTAACCCTACCCAACATTAGAGCTTACTAGGATGGGGCACCTGGGCGGCTGTCAGTCAAGCATCTGGTTTCGGCTCAGGTCATGATCTCACGGTTCGGCACTTGGCTGTCAGCACATAGCCTGCTTCTGATCCTCTGTCCCCTTCTCTCTCTGCCCCTCCCCCACTGACGTGCTCTGGGAAATAAACATTAAAAAAAAAATTTACTAGGAAACCACAGACTAAGGGGATGAAAATAACAAAAAGCTAAATGTGATCAGTCAGCAACTGAAAGCTAAACAGAGTCAGAGGGCATTCTAGGGAGCACACAAAGGGGCTCCCTCTCCTGCAGCCAGAAGGCTGAGGAAAATGAGGACCCAGTCCAGAAATGCCCTGCACACGGTGTAGGAGAGGGGGCGGTAAATTTTCAACATAATTTATTTTTAATTTTTAAAAAATTGTCACTAAGATATAATTCACATACCATGAAGTTTGACTTTTAAAGTGTGCAATTCAGGGGCGCCTGGGTGGCTCAGTCGGCTCAGTGTCCGACTTCGGCTCAGGTCATGATCTCACGGTTCGTGGGTTCGAGCCCCACGTCAGTCTCTGTGCTGACAGCTCAGAGCCTGGAGCCTGCTTCAGATTTTGTTTCCCTCTCTCTCTGCCCCTCCCCCACTCACGCTCTGTCTCTCTCCATCTCTCAAAAATGAATAAACATTTAAAAAATTTTAAAGTGTACAATTCAGCAGTTTGGGGATAGTCACAAGGATATTCACACGGTGAACCACGTCACAAGGGGGATCCGTTATACGAATTCCAGAACATTTTCCTCAGCCCAAAGAGAGACCAAAACCCATTAGCGATCACTCTGCATTCCCTCCACCCCTTCCCTCCTAATCCCTGGCAACCCCTAATCTGCTTTCTGTCTCCGTTATCGACATTTTATACACATGGGATTATACCATATTTGTCCTTTTGTGTCTGGGTTCTTTTTTTGGGAAAATAAGTAAAGTTATGCACCGTAAGATGGTCGACGGGACCCACATAAGCTCTAGTTCCTAGTTTAGAGGCTCCTTCCGGGTTCTGCCCTGCTGGCCGGGCGTGCCAAATTACTTCTAATTCGGAATGCGGAAGTAACCGATGATAAATTGCCCCCCGTGCTTGTGCTCTGGGCTCAGATCTCCGGAGAAGGACCTCCTCTGAGCCCGCCGGTGTAAACTAACACTCCGATCCACCAAGATGTCCGAGTGCCGCTTGGTTTTTCCGCCAGCGGTCCAGCCTCGTTCCGTAACACTTTGACTTAGCATCACGTTTTCAAGGTTCGTCTTGGCAGTAGCTCCGTTCTTATTATTACTGACTAACATCCCAGTCTATGGATAGACCGCATTGTGTTTATCCATCCTTCTCCTGATGGGTGTTTGGATTGTGTCCATTTCTGACCATGCTGAATAATGCTGTTGTGAATGCCTGTGTATGATGTTATGCAAACATACGTTTTCGCTTCCCTTGGGTGTATACAGCTGGCAGCCGAATTGGCAGCTTCTGCATTTAACCATTTGAGGAGCCACATTTCCGTCTTCTGTAGCCTCTGTGCCATTTACACCGCACCCAGCAAACACTGGGGTTTCTCCGCCTCCTCCCCAACACTTCTTATTATCCCCCATTTTGATTGTAGCCGCCCCAGTTGGCATAAGAGAGCTCTATACTCTCAGCATAATCAGGTATGCTAAACAAGGTCAGGAAGCTACTTGGGAAAGAGGATCCTGACATACAGATTGGGGGCCTGAAAGTTGAAGCCCCTGAAAATCTTGAGTCCCCAGATTTCTCTAAACTCTCGGAGCTACAGAAATGGCCCATCCACACCTCCCATTAAAAGGGGAAAACCATGGGGCGCCTGGGTGGCTTAGTCGGTTAAGCATCCGACTTTCGCTTGGGTCATGATCTCGCAGTTCATGGGTTCGAGCCCCGCGTCGGGCTCTGTGCTGACTGCCAGCTCAGAGCCTGGAGGCTGTTTCAGAGTCTGTGTCTCCTTCTCTCTCTGACCCTCCCCTGCTCACGCTGTCTCTCTCTCTCTCTCCAAGAAATAAATAAAAATATATATAAAAAAAAAAGGGGGGAAACCATGCAGAGGCCTCTCTTCCATAAATCACACCCCTCCCCCCACAAGAACCTGCACCAATTCCCCAGCCTCTCAGGCAGGAGACCCAGAAAAAAGCTGACGTTGGAGCTTGAGTCTGAAAGCCATCTGCTGGTGGAATTCCTTCCACCTAAGGAAAGGTCCAGTCTTTTTTCTATTAAGGCCTTCAGCTGATTGGATGAGGCCCACCCATGTTATGAAGAGTATTCTGCTTTATTCAGTCTAGTAAGTGAAATGTTAATCTCATCTAAAAAACAAAAACAAACTTCACAGAAAGATCTAGAATAACATTTGACCAAATACCTGGGTACCATGGCCCAGCCAGGTTGACATACAACGTTAATCATCACAGCAGAGAAGGGCCCCATTCTTCCCACATCTCAGGGTTTTGGTGTGGTTTTTTTTTTTGGGGGGGGTTGCCTTCTGTGTTATTTATTATTGCTAGACAGAGGCAGCCAGTGGGAACCCTCTGGGGGTTTCAGTTTCACAGCTCTGGATGCAATTGTACATCTGTCCTCTCCCTGCCCGTGCACTCCTGGGCCTGTGTCCCATCCTTGCTGGGCCGGGGACGTACCTGCTGAGGGCCTACAGGCATCCACATGCATCTGGCACATGTCTGTGGCCCCTAATAGGACTAAAACCTGAATCTGGCTCGGCTCCTGCCTTGCTGTGCGTCCCTGAGCAAATAAATCCCCTCTCTGCGTCTCTTTCTCCGTTGCTGCACTCACTGACTCTGATTTCCCAGGCCATGGAGACAGGAGTGTTCACAGCCCCAGATGGAATAATTTACCCCCCACAGCAGCAAACCAAGACTGAATTACACTTTTAACCTATGCTGGGAATGTGACCTTTGAAAAGTCAGTCTGAAAGTCCTGATCAGCCCTAGTGACATCATCTGCAGGTTAAACACCCTGCCAGCCCAGTCTCTGTGCCCAAAAAGACAGGGGATGAAGTGTATGTATCAGTCTGCCTGCTTAACCACAAGATGGCCTTCGGGGAAGCCACAGGCTGACGTCCCCGGCCGCGGCGGTGGGCGGAAACCTGGATTGAGGAAGTCAGCTGGAAGCACTGTGTGAGTTTCGGTTTCTAGACTCCCCACTTGCGATTTGCAGTTTCCCGGCTCTACGCAAGGGAGTGGCTCCTTTTCCTCTCTGCTGAGCTGAGATCTACGGTTAGCTGTCCCCACCGCAGCCAGCGATGGGCATCTGGGGGTCGCATCTGTACTCCACGCAGCCGGAGAAGCTGGATGAACTGATCCAGAACTCCCTGAGGCCCTACGGAGAATGTCAGAAACAGATCGATGACAGCGTGGACGCCATCTGTGCCGCCCTGGAGGAAACCAGGCAGATCCCCGACGTAATATGTGTGGCTAAAGTGAGTGCAAGGCTGCGGCCAGGGCTTCTGGGAGCCAGGAGGTTCCGTGGCCACCAGAAAGAAGAGTGACAGGCGGCTGAGCACCTTCTGGGTGACATGCCTTGTCCTGCTCACCCTTGAGTGGAGTGACGGACATGATGTAGAGCTTAGGGGCACAGCTTTGCATTTCAGCTCTGTCTTTATGACTGTGCCCCCCAGAGCAGGTTGCTTAACCTCTCTGTGCTTCAGTCTCTGAATCTGTAAAATGGGAGAAGAATGATACCCATCTCGAACTGTAATGAGGCTGAAGTGTATAATGTTCTTAGCACGGGCCTGGTACATAGTTAGTGCTCAACAAGTGAGCTGTGATTATTGTTACTGTTTCCATCCTCTCCATATTACAGAGGAGTAAACTGAGGCTGGGTGAGTTCAGTAAAACTACCTGCAGGTGGCTCTGTGGTTTCTCGATGGCAACAGGGTGTGCCTCTCAGCAGGTAGAAATGTTTGGGGTTCTTGGCATAAATCCCGGGGCCGAGGCTGAAGATCCCGGCCCTTTGGGGAGGAAAAAGGTGCTGGGAAGGTGCCGGGACCCTAGGGTGGGAGGGCGTTAGAGACCCCCAGCAGCCCCCTCACGCTCACCCAGCCCTGAGCCCCCCTTCTCTGCAGTCACGGTGCTTTCTGGCCTCTGCCTTAGGCATGCCCGGCAGCCCTAGCAGTAAAGATATCTGGACTGATGTCCCTTCGCCCGGGCCCAGATGAGGAAACTGAGGCAGGAGGAAGTTATTTGCTAGCTGGAGGCAAAGCCAGACTTTAAGCCCAGATAGTCTGTTTGGGAGCATGAACCTTTTTTAAATTTTTTTTTAATCTCAGTCTTTTTTTTTTTTTACTTTTTTTTTAATGTTTATTTTTGAGAGAGAGATTCTGAGACAGAGACAGAGACAGTGCGTGACTGCTGGGGAGGGGCAGGGAGAGAGAGGGAGACACAGAATCGAAACAGGCTCCAGGCTCTGAGCTGCCAGCACAGAGCCCGACGCGGGGCTTGAACCCACGATCCACGAGATCATGACCTGAGCCGAAGTCGGACGCGAACCGATGGAGCCACCCAGGTGCCCCGGGAGCATACACCCTTAACTGCTATGCCATCCTGCCTCTCAGTATTGCTAGCTTTTTCCTAATTAAAATATAAGGTAAGAAAAACAGAGTGCACAGACCTAAGTGCACAGTCCGGCGGGTTGCGGCTGACAACACACTTGTGTAACCGACACCCAGATCTGGAAACGAAACCTTCCTGGCCCCGAGAGCACCTGGTCCCCTCTGGAGTCACTACCCCAGCCCTCTCCTGTATCAGGTCGCCTGATAGAAATGAATTCACGCATGGTGTGCCTTTACCACGCGGCTTCTCTGTCTCATCCTGTTTACGAAACTCACGTTGCATGTAGGCATGCGGTTATCATTCCATCGCCGAATAGTGTTCCAAGGTGCGAATCAAGCACGTTTGTTCATTCTATTGCCTCTGGCCATCTGAGTGGCCTCCAGTCAGAGGCTCGTTCGTTCGAAAAGTGCTGCTGTGAGCCTCCTGTTCAGGCCTTCGAGCAGACACATGGACGCCTGCCACTCAGATTTAAGACTGTGGTGACACTTGTGGCTTTCGGTTGATTTGAGAAGTGCTGTTGCCCATGGGGGCGCCCTGTGACCCGAGGGTCCAGATTCTCACACCTGCTTCTCCGTCACTGGCAGGGCGGTTCCTACGGCAGGAACACGGTGTTGAGGGGCAACTCCGACGGTACGATTGTCGTCTTTGTCAGTGGCCTCGAGCGGTTCCAGGATCAGAAGAAAAGCCACGATGAAATCGTCGGCAAGATCCAGCAGTGGCTGGAGGCCTGTCAGTTCACCATGAGGCTGGCGGCCAGAATGGAGGTCCAGGAGCTCCATGGAAGGCTCACCCTCCAGCTGTTCACCAAGTGGCAGAGCCTCACGTTCGAGGTGCTCCCTGCCTACAACGCTCTGGGTGAGTGCTCCTGGGTGTGGAAGGCACCGGCCCGGAGGGGGGTGTTGAGAGAGCAAAGCCAAAGGAAGGGGTGGCAGACCACCATGTGGGTCCTCTAGGCTGTGGATGGGAAAGACACCACTGGTATGTTCCAAAGTAGGGGACCACCTGCCTTCAAGAGAGGAGGTCCCTCCTGCCTGAGGCTTACTCTCTTCTCTAGAACTTTCCCCCCATCTCCTAATCGGCTTTGGAAAGAATGTCCTAGACTCTCGAATCTAGAGCACAGTTTCTCAGACTGTGACAAGCACACAGATCAGCAGGGAACCTTGTGAAGAATGCAGGTGCTGATTCAGGAGATTGGGGGAGGGCCCGGGACTCTGTATTTCTAACCAGGGCCATGCTGCTGCCGGTCTGCACAGCCACGAGGAAGAGGATGGGGCAAACGGCTGGGAAAAGTCCCCCTAGAGCAGGCATTGGAGTCAACATCAAGGCAAGGGCAACTGGTTGGATGAATGGATGGATGGATGGTTGGATGGATGGATGCACAGGCAGATGGATGGATGGATGGACAGATGGACAGACAGATGGATGGATGATAGACTGGATGGATGAATGGAAGGAAGGAAAGGAAGGAAGGAAATAAAAAGCTCAGCATACTTGTGGCTTAGTCTCAAGCACAGGTACATATAATCACAAACTCAAATGCCACAGCTGAAATTAAATTCTCTTTAAGCAAATAGGAAAACTGAAGGAAAGGAATGTCTCAGGGACACACGGCCAGTTGCTGACAGAACTAGAATAAAAGCCCAGATCTTCTAAAACCCCAAGACACACACACACACACACACACTTCAGTGACTCATGTTCATAGAAAGGTAACCAAGTTAGAGGAAAATGTTTGGAAGTTAGGCAGTTCTCAGACAAGGGCTGGAGTCAAAGTGAAGAGACCCAGGGTGACTCAGAATTCTCAGGAAATCCTATATTCTCTCCTCTTGCTCAGAGCTGGTGGCTGGGGACTGGGCCAGAGCTGGGTTCACCCCAACATGCAAGGATGGTGTGAAAACGAGAAATATGCTCTTCCTTGTATGTGGTATCCAGACATTGCCACCAGATGGCGCTAAAACCACATATTGCAAACATCCTTTTGGGAAAGGAGACCATGATTGCTTTATGAGAAAACTAATTTACTGGAGAATTCTTAAATTCCTTTCCTTACTAAATAGTTGCCTAACTAACGTGGCCTGTTCACACCAGCTCCAGGCCGACTTCCATGGCTGTACGCCTCCAGTGCTCTCTCCACAGGGCTTCTAACCCAAAGGGGGATGCTTGCTCTTACATGACTTCCTAGTATTTCCATTTCCTCACCTGTTAAGCTAGTAGTTAATTGCGCCAACCACGTGGAGTTTTGTGGTGCTCGCACAAAAAGGCTTAAACTGTGTCCGGCATACAATAGGCATTCAACAAGTGTTAGCTACATTATTATCATCATCGAGGAGCATGGAATATTCTCTCCCTTAACCTCCTTGGTTACCAAGTGCCCAGAACCATGTCTGGCTAAAAGTAGGAAGTCAGTAAATATCTATCGGAGCAAATGAAAGGCACAAGCTGGCTATTGTCTCCCCTTGTTTATATGTTTGTAAAATGTGCTTATAAACAGTAGCAAGAGTAGAGACCCTGATGAAGTTCTGCGATCTACTGACATCCCCCTCTCCATTGCATTTACTTCATCACCCCCACACCAGGGGTTCTCACACTTCAGTGAGTATCAGAATCACCTGAAACTTAGTTAAAAAAAAAAAAAATACAGAGCCTTGAGCTCCCTTTACTGCAGACCTCCTGCAGAGCTAATTTGGGATTAAAAGACCCATATTCATTGTGAGTCAGGAGGCTCCTGGACCCATATTCCAGATTAGCTGGGCAGCAGGATTCCGATTGGCATAACAGTTTGAGAACTGCTACCTGGTATCACGGGATCCCGTTCCGAAGGGAGTGTGCCTGCCTGTTGGCCTTGAACCCCAGCCTCCGGGACCCTGCCTTCACCTTACCTGCCTCCTCAGAGTCCCTGTACCCTTGACTCTCTGAAACAGAGCATTCACTGGCTGGGCTCAATAGCAGAATATACTGTCTGCACTATAGGAATGCGATTTTCCTCCAGGTGTATCCCAGCCGTGCCAACAGCATTCGGTACAGAAGCCATCTTTCCCTACCAGGCTGGGAGTCTCCCTTCCTCATTTATAACCATGGTTTCTTTTTTTTTTTTTTTTTTTTTATTAAAATGTTTTATTTATTTCTAGGAGAGAGAGAGAGACAGCATGAGCAGGGGAGGGTCAGAGAGAGAGGGAGTCACAGACTCTGAAACAGGCTCCAGGCTCTGGGCTGGCAGTCAGCACAGAGCCCGACGCGGGGCTCGAACCCACGAACAGCGAGATCATGACCTGAGCGAAAGTCAGACGCTTAACCGACTAAGCCACCCAGGCGCCCCTATAACCATGGTTTCGACCCTTCTGTCTCTGCCGACTTTGTCTCGGGCCAGCGCCACTCGGTTTTCACAACAGTTCCGCGAGACGACATTGTACTGCCTAGTGAGGCAAGCCACCCTCACCTTCGGGTGAAGACACCAGTTCCCTTACGGATTACGTGACGGACGTGTGCTGTGAAACCACACCAGACCCCCCCACTGCCTCACTGACCCCCGGAAGGTCTGTGCTTCTCTGTCGCTCCAGGCGTAAGTGAGAAGCCCAGCCCTCAGACCTACCGAGACCTCAAAAGAGCCTTGGATATGACAAGAGCCGTCCCCGGTGAATTCTCCGTCTGCTTCACAGAACTCCAGCAGAGGTTTTTCCACAACCGGCCCAGAAAACTGAAGGATTTGATCCTCTTGGTAAAGTACTGGTACCAACAGGTAACTTTCCGATTTTATTATCTATTGCTGCCATCCGTTTCCTTTCAACCGAGAGCTCCCACCTCCAGGAAAGCACAACACTCTCAGGTGCAGCCCACTGCCTCTTTCTGTCCCCATTAGCAACGTCCAGACCAACGTAGGGCGCGTTTCCTGCATCTCCGCAGCCGCCGCAAGCCCTCTCCCCAGGAACGCTGTCCCCAGACGGCCACCGTCCTAACATCTGTCACCACAGTTCTGCTTGTTCTTGAACTTGGTATCAGTGGAAGGGCATCGCATGTCCTCTCTGTCTGCCACCTTTGGGTCAACGTGGTGTCTAAGAGATTCGTCTCTGCTGTACCCTGTGCTTGTACTTTCTCACCGTTTCCTGTGATTCTGTTGCTTGATGCACCGCACATTATCCACTCCGTTAATGGACACTTGGGCCGCTTCCAAATCAGGGCTACTATGAAGCAGGCTACCATGGATATTCCCTTACATGTCCTTTTGTGAGTTGAAGCACTCGTTTCTCTTAGACAAATACGCAGGTTATAAGATATATGAATATGTATACATAGATGGATACATATATACATGATGTATTGATGTGTATATGTGCATATATAATAAACACATACATAGACTATGCTATATATTATTACATTGTATATAAAACATATCATTACATAAACATATCATATGTAGTGCATAATGTTATATAATAGTAAATACATGTGTAATAATATATATATTTAATGTTAGCAAGTATGGCCAACTTGAGTCTTCCCTAACGGTTGTACCTAATGGAACTGACACTTTCAGGTGCTCCATCCACGTCCTCGCCAACACTTGCTACTGTTAGCCCATTGAATTTTAGGCATGGTGTCATTTTCGTCACTGGTGGGGGGTGGTGACTTCCCATAAGACTTCTGATTCCTTGATTTCAGGCCCCTGGCACGGGGTGTGGGGGCGGGATCCCCAGATGAGCCACTGCCTCTTTTCTTCACCCACAGTGCCAGGCAAAGCTGAATGGGTGTCCCCCGCTGCCCGTGTATGCACTGGAGCTGCTGACTGTCTATGCCTGGGAACAGGGCTGTGGGGCGGAAAACTTCGACATCGTGGAAGGCATCAGAACCGTCCTGGGGCTAATCAAACAGCAGGAGCAGCTGTGTGTCTATTGGATCGTCAACTACAACTTTGAGAACGAGACGGTCCGGAACATTCTGCTGAGCCAGCTCCGATCATCGAGGTACCAAGCTTCCCTCCAGTCTCTCTCTTTACCTGTCAGTCCGCACGTCAGGCTGTGCCTGTGAGAATGAGGGCCCAGCCGGTCCTTCCCAGCCAAGGGTGCACCAAAGCATGCCAGCGGCGGTGGGGAGGGAGGTTTGCCCGAAAGAGGGGTGCCTGGCCAACGTTGTTTCGCGTTCCCCACCATCGTCATATTTTGTCTTGTCCCCAAGATACTCAGGAGGTGGTTGCCATATAGAAAGAAGGGGCTAACCATTTTATTATGTTATTTTTAAAGTTTATGTATTTATTGAGAGAGAGAGAGAGTGTGTGTGTGTGTGTGTGTGTGTGCGCGCCCACGCGTGAGCACCAGCAGGGGAGGGGCAGAGAGAGGGAGAGAGAGAATCCCAAGCAGGCTCTGCACTGTCAGCCCAGAGCCCGGCACAGGGCTCCAAGTCACAAACCATGAGATCATGACCTGAAACGGAGTCGGACGCTTAACTGACTGAGCCCCCCAGGCGCCCCCATTTTACTGTGTTCCTCATGGAACGTCAGTGCCAAGCAGAGAAGGCGGGAGCTGAGGGTCTAAACGTCTCAGACACAGCGCCTCACTGAACGAGAGGAAGCATGGATGTTCGAGTCCAGGTTCCCAGGCACCCCGTCCAGGCCTGATTCCAACACGGATTTCTTCTTTCACATACAGCCCGACTGACTTTCTTTGTCATCCAATGGAATTCCTAGGCCGGTCATCTTGGACCCAGTGGACCCGACCCACAATGTGAGCAAAAATAAGGCGTGCTGGGAGCTGCTGCAGCGGGAAGCTCACACCTGGTTGTCTTCTCTCAGCCCCAGTGAGTCGCCTGGACCATCGTGGAATGTTCTGGTGAGAGGGCTTTGCAGAGGCAGCTCGCGTCACGCCACAGGGAGGGCGTCCCAACACCCAGACAGTTGCCATAGCCCAGGAGCACCACGCGTGGGAGTGGATGTCCCTGTGCAGCTGTGACAAAGCACATGCTAGTGGCTTACAGCAGCAGAAATTCACTCTCTCACATCTGGAGGCTGGAAGTCCAAGGTCAAGGTGGGGGCAGCGCTGTGCTCCCTCTGAAGGCCCAGAGGAGGACCCTTCCTTGCCTCTTCCCCACTCCCGGTGGCTGTTGGTGCTCCTTGGCTATGTCCCTCCCATCTCAGTGTCACACGGCCTTCTCTGGTGTGTCTTCACAATGCCTTCCCTCCTTGCCTGTCTGTCTCTGTGTCTCCCTCCTCTTCTTTTTTGTTTTTTAAATGTTTATTATTTTGAAAGGCAGGGCCAGAGAGAGAGGGAGACACAGAATCTAAAGGCAGCCCCGGGCTCTGAGCTGTCAGCACAGAGCCCGACGTGGGGCTCGAACCCACGAACCGTGAAATCATGACCCGAAGTCGGATGCTTAACCGATTGAGCCACCCAGGCACCCCTGCAGATTAGAGATTTCAATCAATGGCCGCACATGGGAGCGCAGGTGGATAGGTCGGTGAGGAGGAAACAGAGGGGAGCCCAGTCTGGGGCAGATACACCGGCTTCCCCTCCCTTCCCCAAAAGGGAAGCAAATCTACCAACACAGAATGCCCCTGCGCTCTCAGCTCATCGGAGAAGGACAGCAGTGAGAACATCGTCGGTCTAGGCCACTGAACCCACTCAGTTTCCTGGGGGTCATGGGGAGCCCATGAGGCCAGATATAGGCCAATGAAATTCACAGGCACGGGACTAATTTACATCCAACGTATGGTAGCCATGGGTCTACCCTTCATTTGGCACAGGAAGTTGAGGGCCAACTGGGCAAAGAAGTGGGGTATAAATGAGCATCCCAAATTCGGGGCCCCTGAACAGGAAGGACTCCGCAGACGGAGAGCCCCCTGCCTGGATCCGGAAGGAATGTCGGGCACCCACTCCTTGCCCCAGCTCTCCTTGGACTCTGTCTTTGCTCTCTGACCTCAATTTCCCTGGGTTCCTAAAACAGCTTTTTAAAAAATACCCCCCCAACTTTTATTCTGAAAACTTTCAAACATATAGAAAGTAGCAGAAATGGTTCAGTGAACCCCTGCGTCTGTGTAGACTCCCAAATGTTTTGCTTTTTACCCCTTTGGCTCTGTTTCAGTTTCCCTCATCGTCAGTATTGTATTTCTTGTTTATTCTGAGCCGTTTGAGCCGGCTGTCAGATAAAGACACGCTGTCAGCTCACTGCTCGCAGCCCCCGGGGGCCGGGGGGCTGGGTGCCACCCTAAACTCTCCGGAATGTTCTTGGGGTGGGTCGATGCAAGTGCTGAGCCAGCGTTCTTCCCCCTTCCCAGCCGGCGCCACTGTACGCGACCCCGGGCCATCTTCTGGATAAATTCATCAAGGACTTTCTCCAGCCTGACAGACGTTTCCTGGACCAGATCGCGACAGCTGTTGACGTCATCTGTAAATTCCTTCAGAAAAATTGCTTTCCGCATTCAGCTACAAGAGTTCAGAAAACCGTCAAGGTGAGGAACAGCCTCTTTGCTACCGGGGCCTTAGCGGTAGGGGGCGAAGCGGCTCGTGCCCTGCCTGCAGGGACCTGGGAGCGAAGCCGGCAGGTGGGTAGCTAGACCCCCGGCTGTCAGTAGGGGGCGCCCGCGCACTGCTTACATCAGTAACCACATCCCTGTGGCTCAGTGTGGGCTTCCTGGGGCTGCCCCGCCCTTAGCGGCCTGGCCACCTCTGCCTCCCCATCACCTTCTCCACGGTCTCCTCTCCTTTCCCTTGTCTTCTAAGGACACTCGCCCTTGGATTTAGGGTCTACAGACCTCTCACTCAATCACATCTACAAAGGCCCTTCTTCCAAGCAAGGTCACGTTCTCACCTTCCCAGCAGAGGGGCTACCGTTCAAACCACAGTAGACCCCAAGCTCCGCGTGTCCTGGACCAAAGAGTGACCTCTTTCTTGTCTTCATGGCCGGAGCCTGATCAGCCATCAACCGAGCTAGAGATTCAGCAGATTGGGTCATTCTTGCCCACGGCTCCAAGTCCACAGGCTAACACACTTCCCTCTGCCGGTGGGTCAGCGGCCTGATAAGTGGGGGGCCACGGTCACCTGCAGGGAGCAGGGAGATGCCGATATGCTGCCAGACAGACCTGTGTGCCTGCTGCCCTGAGGCGGGCCGGGCACCGGGACCAATATCCCATAAGCCCCATGTGGACTCAGATGTCTCACTGAGGCTCCCTGGGGTGAAAACAGGCTGAGTTCATGGTCAGTGTTAAAACTGTCGAAGCCTGTTTTCTCTCTTCCTTCCCGAGATCCCCATCAACATGATAGTAGAAGTAAGAAAAGGTATGGGGGCACATCGAAGAAAAAGAAAATAGGAGGGGCACCTGGGTGGCTCAGCTGGTTAAGCGTCTGACGTCAGCTCACGTCATGAGCTCAGGGTTTGCGGGTATGAGCCCTGCGTGGGGCTCTGTGCAGACAGCTGGGAGCCTGGAGCCTGCTTCAGATTCTGTGTCTCTGTCTCTCTCTCTCTGCCCCTCCCCTGCTTGCTCTCTGTCTCTCTGTCTTTCTCTCAAAAATAAAATGAACTTGGGGCGCCTGGGTGGCTTAGTCGGTTAAGCGTCTGACTTTCGCTTAGGTCATGATCTCGCGGTTCGTGGATTCGAGCCCCGCGTCGGGCTCTGTGCTGACTGCCAGCTGCCCGGAGCCTGTTTCAGTCTGTGGCTCACCCTCTCTCTCTGACCCTCCCCTGCTCACGCTGTCTCTCTCTCTCTCTCCTAGAAATAAATAAAAAATATTAAAAAAAAAAAAGTTTAAAAAAAAAATAAAATGAACTTTAAAAAGAAGAAGAAGAAAATAGGAAGAGAATCACGGGCACACAGGAAGTTTCTTCCTGAAGTTGGCTGCGAGCTGGAGAGGGCTGTCTGCTGGGTGACGGGGAAGGTGTCACCCAGAGATGTTGAGGAGGGAGCCGTGGCCCGGGTGAGGCTGGCGAAGGCCAGCACCCGCAGACCAGCTGCGTGAATGAAGCCGGTTTGAGCATCTGATACAGGAAACAGAACACCCTCCCCTCACCCCTAAACTGCTGCCGCCGTCGGGCCTTTACTACTCAGTAAAACAAACGTTTTCCTACAAATATGGGGTGAACTTTCTGGGGGCAACCAGGGCAGAAAGGGTGGAGGCTGGCGCCCTGAGGTGGCTTCTCCCCCACCTCACCCTCCAAGACGCCCATCAGCTAAGGAGCGGCTCCTGCAGGCTGAGCTCCCCAAAATAGACAAGACGAGCCCGCGTACCGCCTAGGCCGCCTCGTGCAGGGCTAGGGGTGGCCAAATCGGGGCCAGGGAGCTAAAAAGCGAACTGACAGTTTTACAGAGTTGTTAGAGAAGAAAGGAAAGGAGGAAGAGGAGGAGGAGGGAGGGAGGGAGGGAGAAGAAGGGAGGAGGAGGGAGGAGGAAGAAGGGAGGGAAGGAGAGGAGGGAGGGGGGAGGGGGGAGGAGGTAGAGCGCCTGTGTGGCGGGGGCCATACACACCCCACGCTACTGTCTGGCCCTGTACAGACCCTTGTGCCTAATCATCCCGTGATCCCCAGACCCCCCAGAGGAAACCGATGAATCGGGGAACGGAGGAGAACTTTCAACATAATGACTGCCCCCAGTTTGATTTCTCTCCGGTCACAGGAATCCAAACAAAGCTAAATACCCTTTAGGAGACATCTCTCGGAAGCTGACTTGAGCAGCGGGTAATTTACAACTAGCCCATCAGCTGTTTGTGAGCAAATAAGTACATCAAAGGGCATGAGAAAACCTTTGGAGCCAAACTATTCCCTTGAAAGAGTGAACACCCTGCTCTGGACTCAGCCCTAACTGGACCCTAACTTGGACCCACCCCCTTGGCAAGCTCATTGGCACCAGCCCAGGGGGCAGGGGGCTCGGGGTCTAGAAAATGCTGTAACTCTGCTTGCCTTTCTTCACTAGGGAGGGTCAACCGGCAAAGGCACAGCTCTGAAGACCGGCTCCGATGCCGACCTCGTAGTGTTCCCAGACTCGCTTAAAAGCTACACCTCCCAAAAAACCGAGAGATGCAATATCATCAAGGAAATCCGTAAACAGCTAGAAGCCTGTCAGCAGAAGGAAAAGTTTGAAGTGAAGTTTGAGATTTCCAAATGGAAGACTCCCAGGGTGCTAAGCTTCTCTCTGAAGTCCAGAGTGCTCAACGAAAGGGTTGACTTTGATGTGCTGCCTGCATTTAACGCTCTAGGTGAGCCCCACCCCCACCCCCCAGACTTTAGCTTCTCGAGGAGGAAGATGGGTTCTGGGGTGATGGGGCCAGGCGGGTGGAGGGAAAGCCATGTGACTTAGTGATGAGGACTCATGGCTCTAGTACCACCTTATCCCTGTGGACACTTTTTTTTTTTTTTTAACTTTTTAAATGTTATTTGGTGGGGAGGGGCAGAGGGAGAGGGAGACACAGAATCCAAAGCAGATTCCAGGCTCCGAGCTGTCAGCACAGAGCCCGATGCGGGGCTCAAACCCACGAGCCGTGAGATCATGACCTGAGCCGTAGTCAGTTGCTTAACTGGCTAAGCCACCCAGGTGCCACCGCCACCCCCCATGGACATTTTCATTCTCCTTTGCCACTTAAGTATCCCAAGGATGGCCAGAACCCACATCTTACATTCCTGTGGTGTGGCTCATAATAGCTATCAAAGAATGGAGTACACAGGAGTTCTGTACACATTTATAGATAAAACGCTTCAAGTATTAGTGAAGGGAATTTAAAAAGACTGTGGGAAGAATTGTAAGGCAAAGACAAGAAATCCTGAGTGCTGTCAATCTTGGGCAAAAATCTGCTTTGGAAATTCGATTCATGAATGACAGATACATCATTTTGTATGAACAGAAACCAAGGTGGGGCACCTGGGTGGCTCAGCCAGTTGAGCGTTCAGCTTCAGCTCAGGTCATGATCTCGTGGTTCGAGAGTTTGAGCCCCACATCGGGCTCGCTGTTGTCAATCAGCACAGACCTGCTTTGGATCCTCTGTTCCCCTTTTCCTGCCCCTCCCCCACTTGTGTGTGCTCTCCCTCTCTCTCAAAAATAAACACCGAAACAAAAAAAAACTTTTTTTTTTTTTAAATATTTTTTTTTATTTATTTCTAGGAGAGAGAGAGAGACAGCGTGAGCAGGGGAGGGTCAGAGAGAGAGGGTGTCACAGACTGAAACAGGCTCCAGGTTCTGAGCTGGCAGTCAGCACAGAGCCCGACGCGGGGCTCGAACCCACAAACCGCGAGATCATGACCTAAGCGAAAGTCGGATGCTTAACCGACTAAGCCACCCAGGCGCCCCCAAAAAAAAAACTTCTTAAAGAAAAAATAAAGCAGGCTATTTCAGACATTTTTCAAATCAGAATCAAGAAGACTATGGTGCCTTCCCTCTGAATGGTTCTTAGTGTCTCTAGACAGGAAATAACAGTATAGATTGGGGTTTGGCTAAAAAAAAATTTTTTTAAAACAAAGTAGCAAGTATTTTCAGCTTTGAGGACCATACAGTATCTGTCATGATTACTCAGCTCTGCCACGGTACCCTGAAAGCACAAAGTGCATGGCAGTGTTCTAATAAAACTTTATGTACAAAAACAAGAAGTGGGCCAGATTTAGCCTATAGGCCATAGTTAGCAAAGTCCCCATCAGTGCAGTCTAAAAGATCTTTCTGTGATAATGAGAATGTTCTGCACCTACTGAGAGCTTGAAATTGTGGCTAGTGGGACAGAGGAACTAAATTTTTAATTTTATTTCCCCTTACTTAATTTGAATGCATAAACCACATTGCTTAGTGGCTACCGTATTGGACAGTGCAAATCTCGATAATACTTTAGTAATAGCACCTGCATTCATATCGACTGTATAATTTTTTTTAAATATCTCGTTACTCTGTAGACGCTCTCAGTATCTTAGACATCAGTCATTCAAATATACTAATAGAGTTCAAAGTCATTACCCAGGATTAAATTATATTTGTCAAAAGTGTTTGAGAATGGTTTCTTTTTTAACATTTAAATTCAAGTTAATTAACATATAGCGTAGTCTTGCTTCAGGAGTAGAACCCAGTGATTCATTTCTTACATGTGACACCCAGTGCTCATCCTGAAAAGTGTCCTCCTTAATACCCATCACCCACTTAACCCATTCCCCCCAGCCCCCTCCAGCAACCCTCAGTTTGTTCTCTGTATTTAAGAGCCTCTTAACAGTTTGCCTCCCACTCTCTGTTTTTATCTTATTTTCCCTTCCCCTCCCCTCTGTTCATCTGTTGAGATTCTCAAACTCCACATGAGTGAAATCATACGATCTGTCTTTCTTTGACTTCATTTCACTTAGCGTAATACCTTCTAGTTCCACCCATGTTGCTGCAAATGGCAAGATTTCACTCTTTTTCATTGCCAAGTAGAGTATATATATCACATCTTCTTTATCCGTTCATCAGTCGATGGATATTTGGGGTCTTTCCATAATTTGGCTATTTTTGAAGGCGCTGCTATGAACATTGGAGTGCATGTGCCCTTATGCATCAGCACTCCTGTATCCCTTGAATGAATACCTAGTAGTGCAATTGCTGGGTCGTAGGGTAGTTCTATTTTTAACTTTTTGAGGAACCTCCACACTGTTTTCCAGAGTGGCGGCACCAGTGTGCATTCCCACCAGCAGTGCAAAAGGGATCCTCTTTCTCTGCGTCCTAACCAACATCTGTTGTTGCCTGAGTTGTTAACGTTAGCCATTCTGACAGGTGTGAGGTGGTATCTCATTGTGGTTTTGATTTGTATTTCCCTGATGATGAGTGATGTTGCGCATCTACAGAGGAAAGCATAATCTAAACATCTCCCCCTCACTAGGTCAGCTGAACTCTGGCTCCACACCCAACCCCAAGGTCTATGCAGAGCTCATCGACCTGTATAAATCCTCAGACGCCATGGAGGGAGAATTTTCCACCTGCTTCACGGAGCTGCAGTGCAAATTCGTGGCCTCTCGACCCACCAAATTGAAGGATTTAATTCGTCTGGTGAAGCATTGGTACAAACAGGTACGACTGCTCGTATTCCGGTGATCTGGTTTTCGTTTTTATGGTGTTCTGTGACCTTCACACCAGTATGTAACTGCGGCTCTGTGTGCCTACATTCTCCCGTGCGGGGGACTGAGCCACTATCGGGAATCTGTCTACTAATCCTGAGTATCTCTGTGGAGTCCCGTCACCACCCCCACGAAGCGGGGCGAGATGGGGAGCACCCTCTACCATCGACGCTGCCGCATGTGGTTTATGCTGCCTTTGCTCCGGCGCCCAGAGAACTCTGCAGGAATCCAGGTTATTCTACATACAAAGGGCAGATGAAGTTGGGATTTGCACGCCTACAGGCCAGCCGTACTTCTGCTTGGCGTCCAGAAGTAATAGACACAAATGCCATCCTTGGAAGACAGGCTGAAGCTACAGGCGGGACCAGGGGCTGCATTTTCTGTGACCGTTAGCTTGCCTTCCCTTCCATCCACTGTCTTGGACACAAGGGAGTGTCTGAGTGTGTCCATGAGAGCAGACGTCGGACACAGCACCTCCTCTTGCCCGAGACACCTCCTTCCTGTGCACAGCTCCCTGAAGCCTGAGGTGGAGACTGAGCTCTGTGGTTTCCATCCCAGAAACTGAGAGAAATGACCATCCCCGCACCCCAGGGTGCTCAGAGGGCTTGGGGCTGCAGTGTGACCTTGAGCAAGTCCCTTCCCCTCCCCGAGCTGCATGTCTTCATCAGCAACGTCTCTCTATGCCTGCTTGGCGGGTTGTCGGAGGACTGGGAATGGCACGTAGAATGTCTGGCCCCACAAGCAGCACACAGTGGGTGTTTTATAAGCAGTAGCTGTATTATAACCCTAGGGAGTCCTAGACGGCCGGAGCACAGCGCAGAAATCCGCATGTGCTGCCTATGCGCTGCCGAGGGGGCAGCCGCAGAGCTGCCCTGCTCAGACCTGCAGCAGACCGACCCATCAGCCCTGTGTCTCGTGACTCAGTTGCTCTGCTGGGGCCCCAGGGGTCACTAGCCTGTGATCTCTGCTCACTGCACCTCCCTGCCCTCACCAGTATCGTCTGATGTTCCCCTCTTCCCTCAGTGCGAAAGGAAACTGAAGCATAAGGGGTCTCTGCCCCCAAAGTACGCCTTGGAGCTGCTCACCATCTACGCCTGGGAGCAGGGGAGCGGGGCAGAGAATTTCGACACCGCGGAAGGATTCCGGACCGTCTTGGAATTGGTCACAAAATATCAGCAGCTCTGTGTCTTCTGGACGGTCAACTACAACTTTGAGGATGAGACCGTGAGGAACTTCCTACTGACCCAGATCCAGAGAACCAGGTGCTCCAAATCCTGCCTCTTCCTTTTCTCCTTTTTAAAAAAAATTTCTAACCTTTATTTTTGAGAGAGAGGCAGAGAGACAGAGTGCGAGTGGGCGAGGGGCAGAGAGAGAGGGAGACACGGAATCCGAAGCAGGCTCCAGGCTCCGAGCTGTGAGCACAGAGCCCGCCGGGGGCTCGAACTCATGAGCCATGAGATCACGACCTGAGCCGAAGTTGGAAGCTAAACTGACTGACAGGTGCCCCCTGCCCTTTCCTTTGCTTAACCTGATTCCCTCCAGCGCTATATCAAGGACCCCATTCTCCCTGGAGTCGTGGTTCGTAATTCCCCACGTTGGAGGCTGAGGAGGGGGGCTGGTGGGGGCCGGCCCCGGGGGGAGGAAGTCCTAGGGGGCTGCGGATAGAATACCACGTCTTCCGGGAGGAACAGAGAAGGAAGGACCAAGGTACCAGGTCCCTGGGATGCTTCCATCTTTCTAGGTCAGAAGGGAAAGTGTGGGTTCGTTAGCAGGTCTCAGAGGTGTGGAAGTGGCAAGGTGTCCCCGAGGAATAATGCTGTCACTCTTCACGGCCGATTCATCCTACCGGGGGGAGTTTTATTACATCAGATTTTATCTACCCTTTCAGACCTGCATCCCACAAAACCACTATCCTTCAAGAATAGCGGGGAGACTTAAACATCTTTTAATAAATGGTGAGGCGCCTGGGTGGCTCAGTTTGTTAAGCATCCGACTTCGGCTCAGGTCCTGATCTCTCAGTTCGTGAGTTCGAGCCCCGCGTCGGGCTCTGTGCTGACGGCTCAGAGCCTGGAGCCTGCTTCGATTTCTGGGTCTCCCCCTCTCTCTCTCTGCCCCTCCCCCACTTGTTCTCTGTCTCTCCCTGTCTCTGTCTCTGTCTCTCGTAAAATAAGTAAACAACAACAACAAAAAAAAAATAGCGGGGAATCTTAGTGTGTCCATTCAGTGCCCCCAGCAGGGCACAAAAACAAAGGAATCAAAAGAAAAGGAAACAGAGAAAAGAAAAAAGCTGTGAGAAGGAATAGAGGGGAAGAAGGAGAGAACAAGATACCACGGGCTCCCTCCCGTGGGCGTGGCCCACGTACCATTACAGTTGATCGAATTTCGCATCATTTTTCAGTTGACCTAACATGAAGGGAATGTTTATATTATGCCATCCTGTGTATAATAAGTAACAGCTTTCAAAATACCCCTGACACATATAATTGAATTCTAGAAAATTACTTGGAGCTATAGCAGAGCCTTTGAGTTACTGGCATCTAAGATATAAGACACATCGTTTTACGGCTTAGAGTAGAATGGACCCCCCCATTCTGAGGCCACTGGTTTAAAAAAATTTTTTTAGTGTTTATTTTTGAGAGAGAAAGACGGAGTGCAAGCAGGGCAGAGACAGAGAGAGAGGGAGACACAGAATCTGAAGCAGCTCCAGGCTCTGAGCTGTCAGCACAGAGCCCGACGCGGGGTGTGAACTCAGGAACCGTGAGATCCTGACCTGAGCTGAAGTCGGACGCTTAACCGACTGAGCCCCCCAGGCGCCCCCGAGGCCACTGGTTTTAAAAAGCATGCCTGAGGGGCGCCTGGGGGGCTTAGTCGGTTAAGCGTCCGACTTTCGCTCAGGTCATGATCTCGTGGTTCGTGGGTTCGAGCCCCGCGTCGGGCTCTGTGCTGACTGCCGGCTCAGAGCCTGGAGCCTGTTTCAGCCTGTGACTCCCTCTCTCTCTGACCCTCCCCTGCTCACACTGTCTCTCTCTCTCTCCTAGAAATAAATAAAACATTTAAAAAAATTTAATAAAATAAAATAAAATAAAAAGCATGCCTGTAATGCTTCTGCATCTCCTTCAGGCCCGTGATCTTGGACCCAGCCGAACCCACTGGTGACGTAGGTGGAGGGGACCGCTGGTGCTGGCATCTTCTGGCAAAAGAAGCTACTGAATGGCTGTCTTCTTTCTGCTTCAAAGATGGGACTGGCTATCCTGTACGATCGTGGAAAGTGCCAGTAAGAATCATCTAAAGGGAGTGTCCCCTGAGGGCTACCCCGTGACAAGCTTACATCAAAGAGCTTCTCCTGCCGTCGCAACTTGGAATTCATTCAGCCACAAGTAACAGAGAGCCCAACAGAGGAGCTGAAATAGTTTAGCTTTTCCCTTCCCGATACGAGAAACCCTAAGGCAGGACATCGAGGACTCATGCGCCAGCTCCACTGTGCTTTCCTTCTAGCGGGTTTCTCCGCCATGGCACCGGTTCCCGTGTAGGGGTCCGATAGGTCTTTGCACGGAGACCTGTGCTGAGCTGTGTCGGGTGCTGAGCAGAACCCCTGATCTCTACCCACTAGAGGCCAGTAGCACCACCCGCCAGCTGGGACAGCCAGAAATGTCTCCAGACGTTGCCCAATGTCCCCTGGGGTGTCCCCAGATCTTTCTGGCTCCACCCTCTTTATTTGTCAAGTTGAATCCTGATAGTGCCGCACCTGCAGGCAGCAGGTTCCGTCCAAACAGGAAGAACAGCAAAGGAGAAGATCATAACGACTGGGTATCTTTTTAGAAACGTCATCCAGTAAATTCTCCTACATTTCGTGGCCCAGAAAGGTCGTGTGACTCCCCATAACTCAAAAGTGACTTCAAAAAGTAGGGTGAAAGCAGCTGTAGATGGAAGCCGGGTGAGGTGACCAAGTGTGTCTGCCACACCTGACCAAAGCACTACTTCCTCCCCAGATACCTGGCCCCGAGGTAAACCTCGTCTCACCACGTTCTTTCTCAAGCTTCTTTCAGAGCAGGGGTTCTCAGCCTCAGCGACTACTGACATTTGGGCCAGATAATTCTTTGTTGTGGGCGGGCCATGCTGTACATTGTAGTGTTGGGCTACACGCCAAATCTCTACCCACTAGATGCCACCTAGTCGTGACAATTAAAAAAGTCTCAGGACATTGCCTCATGCCCTGTGGGGAGCAAAATGCTCCCCCTCGGGTGAGAACCCAGCTTTAGAAGCTAACTCCAGAGTTAGCTGTAGTTCTCAAGATCCGCACTACAACCAGCATGTAAAAACTGTCCCTGGTAAGACTAACCCTCTCGGATGCACTTCCTTCTTTTTTTTTTCCTGACTCTTCTAACCAATGATTTTAACTGCTTAGCATATGTGTTATTCTCGCACGTATATTTCTTTCTTTCTAGACAGTGCAGACTCCAGGAAGTTGTGGAGTTGGGATCCATCCTATTGTCAATGAGGTGTTCTCATTCAGAAGTCGTAGAACCCTGGAATGCTAATGTGAGAAGAAACTTCTAGAGGTCTTCTGGCAGCTGCTTTTTAAAGAACCGGTTCACTTGCATGGAATCACAATCCCTTGCCAATCTCCACTACTCCTTCTCTCGCTTCTTCGACTCCTCTTGAAGTCAAGATCACCGCTAAGTCCTTCATGGTGTCACTCTGCTGAATGCTCACTCTGCAAGTGACCTGCCTTGCCCAAAATATCCGCTCTCACCCAGCTTCATGGGCGCCATATTTCTGTCAGCCATTGTGTTTCATGGGCGCCATGTTTTCTATCAACCATTGTATGTTTTCCAAGTTGCTCCTTCCTTTTCCTTCAAGCCTTAGCAGAAGGATCTCTCTGTATTCCCAAAAGGAAGCCCTTCACCTGCCTCTTGGTTCCTATAATTCCACAACCTTGCTCTCCCACTCCTCCACATTGCCTGCCTCCTGTCTGGTTCCCTCCACACACAAAACCCTGTCTGTCTACACCTGCTGAATTAAAGGTCTCCTCAGCCAGTAGTGAGCCGATGTCTTCTTAGCCCTAAAATCCTCCAAAGGCTTGGATTACAACAGTTGCCTTACATCTATAATAGCTTATTGTCTTTTCCTTCTTAGCCTACATTCTCCCCCGCCCCCACCCATGAGTGTCTTCTTGACAAATCTAAAGGCTCTAGCTTCAGAGATACTTGAATGTCTCAGTGTTTTAACCTATAGATCCACTTAAAGTTTCACTACTACCACATATTCTAACCATCATATAATAAAGAATATATCTAGTCTTTGTCCCCAGATCTTGGCACAGAGTTTCAGAACCCCTTGGAATTTCCTGATAGGAGAGTCTTTTCTATTCCTTCCAGCCATTCCTGAGTTTATGCTAACTAGGTTTGGGCCCTTAGGTAATAGTTTGAAGGGAGGGAAGGGTCATGCCGGAAATGCCAGGCACCTGATTGGAGGGTTGTGACTTCTGGCCGCATCCCCCCCAACCTCCCAAGGGGAGGGGGGGGGCGGGGACTGAGTTCAAGCATGATTTAATGAAACGTGTCTCTGTAATGAAACTTCCAGTAAAGACTCTGGACTACAAGGCTTGGAAAGCTTCGGGTTGGTGAACATATCAGGGTGTGGTGAAGACAGGGCATCCTGACCCCATGGGGAAAGGGGCTTCTGAACTTGGGACCCTTCCAGCCCTCACTTCCTGTGGCCACTTGTCTGTATTCTTTATAATAAGACGGTGATTATAAGTATGGCATTTCCCCTGGGTTCTGTGAGTCGTTCCAGCCGGTTATCGAACCCACAGGGGGGTCATCAGAACCCATCAATTTGTAGCCACGTCAGACAGGAAGCCTCTCGAAGCTGGCGTCTGAAGGGGAGGCAGCCCAGCTGGCACCTTGCTCTTTATCCCATGGGGTCTGCACTATCTCCAGGGAGCATCAGAGTCTAATTGAACTGTAGGACCCCCTGCTGGTGAGGCCAGTGAGCTGGTGTTGGGTGTACCACCATCTTGTCCCAGAAGAAGGGCAAAGGAACGAGCTATGACTGAGGTTGAAGGAAGAAAGAATGACCGCTCTGAGGCGCCTGGGTGGCTTAGTCGGTTAAGCGTCCGACTTTCGCTTGGGTCATGATCTCGCGGTTCGTGGGTTCGGGCCCCGCGTCGGGCTCTGTGCTGACTGCCAGCTCAGAGCCTGGAGCCTGTTTCAGAGTCTGTGACTCCCTCTCTCTCTGACCCTTCCCTGCTCACGCTCTCTCTCTCTCTCTCCTAGAAATAAATAAAAATATTAAAAAAAAATTAAAAAAAAAAAAAGAAAGAATGACCGCTCTGAGTTCACATTCTACCCAGTGTACAACTAGTTCCCAGACCCTTCTAGATGCCCGAACTTGCACTGGAGACATAGATGGGAGACCCTAAGACCCTGCTTCCTCCTCACAGGGTTTGTGACGTACCTAGAGGTAGGTCACCTAAATCCCTTAAATAAAGATGAAATACTATTTACAACCTCATGGTAAATGGCAGGCATGTAGTGGGTTAAGACCTGTAACCACAGGGGCACCTGGGTGGGTCAGTTGGTTCAGTGTCGGCTTCAGCTCAGGTCATGATCTCCCGGCTCGTGAGTTTGAGTCCCGCGTCGGGCTCTGTGCTGACAGCTCAGAGCCTGGAGCCTGCTTCAGATTCTGTGTCTCCCTCTCTCTCTGCCCCTCCCCTGCTCACACTGTCTCTCTCTCTCTTTCTCTCTCTCAAAAATAAATAAAACATTTTAAAAAATTAAAATAAAAAAAAAAGACCTGTAACCATAAAGCAAGTGACTCAGTCCCAACGGAAGGAAGGAGCCATCCTGGTCCTTTTCTGTTCTTTCAGCATTCGGCAGACACTTAAGTTCGTTAAACCCAAAGAGAGCATTTGTCATGATCAAGAAACGTATGGTCATTGGTCGTCATTGGAAGGAACAAGGGCACCGATCCTTTTTTTTCAAAACTTGGCAACTAACAGGGGCTCCTGGGTGGCTCAGTCAGTTAAGCGGCCAACTTCGGCTCAGGTCATGATCTCGCAGTTCATGGGTTTGAGTCCCCTGTCGGGCTCTGTGCTGACAACTCGGAGCCTGAAGCCTGCTTCGGATTCTGTGTCTCCCTGTCTCTCTGCACCCCCCCCCCACTTGTGCTCTGTCTCTGTCTCTCAAAAGATAAATAAACATTTAAAAAAAATTTTTTTAAGTGAAAGGGAAATGAGCCAAGAACATAGCAAGAATCCAGTTAGGCAAGAGTTAAAGGTCAAGATCCCAGGCCCATCAGTCCCCTCTCGGCTACCCTGGCAACGAGGCCCCCACTTACCCCACAGGGAGTAAGCGAGGATTACAAGCAAGGCAAGTGGCCAAAGGCCCAGGAAGACTTTGGGAAGAGTTTGAACGGTGACCATAAAAGAGGCCACCAAGGGGGAGAATCTGCAGATAAAAGAATTCTCTGGAGCCTGTCTGCTGGAGGGTTTCAGCTGCTCTGACCTGAGGCTTCTCCTAAGTGTGGTCAAGTCCGAGCAGGTAAAATGTTATCACGCTCATTCTCTTTCTCGACATCAGTGCCTGGGATGAATCTCATACAAGGAAAAGATGAAGAAAACTTACTCTCTGTCTTTGCTGGGGCTGCCCTGGGTGTGCTGGCCTAGATCTGCCCAGGGTGGGGTGTAGACCCGTGAGAGCTAGCCTGGGTCCACCCAGAGTGGTGTAGACCCGGAGAGTAGCACCGGGAGCAGGACAGGGGGATGCCAGTGACCTCACCCAGCACGCATGCCTCGGACGGAGCTCCTCAGAGCTGTGCTGAATCCAAGGCCCTTCTCTCCCCTTCCCTTCGCTGTGGGGACCAGGATGGGGTTTGCAGGGGGGACCTCTCATGTTCTGAGGGACAAGTCTCCAGCTGCCGGAGCACGAAGTCACGGCCAGGAGAAGGGGAAAGGCTCAGTTGTGAGAGTGTATGCGGGGGGGTGGGGTGGGGGGTGTCAGGAGAGGGGACCCTTCCCCAAGCCTTGGCCACCAGGATGGCCAGAATAACAGGAGAATGGAAGAGCCAGCGGGGGCCACTGCGCGCTCCACAGAAGGAAGAGGAGATGCCACCAAACCCACAGAAAGCCTGGGGAAGCCAGAAAGGGTGTGGCAGGCGGCACCCTAGCCCCCGAAGTCGACCGCTCCCCGCTCCCTACAGCCTGTGAAAACATAACCTGATCTGCCAGAAGGGCCCCTGCGGATGTGACTAGAACATCTTGAGCGGGTTCTCCGTGTGCAGGTGGGGCCAGCCTCATCACAGGAGCCCTTCAAAGCAGAGCCTCGAGGCGCCTGGGGGGCTCAGTCGGTTAAGTGTCCGACTCTTGATTTCCGTTCAGGTCATGATCTCATGGTTCGTGGGTTTGAGGCTCGTGTCAGGCTTGCACTGAGAGCACCGAGCGTGCTTGGGATTCTCTCTCTCTCTCTGCCCTGCTCATACTCTCTCTCTCAAAATAAATAAATAAACTTCAGGAAAAAAAAAAAAAGCAGAGAGCCTTTCCCACCCAAGTTGGAGCGATTCAGCTGAAGAAGCAGCAGAAAGGCCCGAGTGTGTGTGTGTGTGTTGTAAGGGGGGGGTGGCTGGAGATGCACACTCATGAGTCAGGGAGGGGTGGATGGCCGCAGGAAACAGGGGGGCCTCACTCCTGCAATCAGGCAACCCGAGAGAACGCGGCCTGAGGAGGCCCAGTGCAGAGAGAGACCAGCCAGGCCTGCTGGCCTTCTGACCTACGGGCTGTGACATAATGAACTTGCTTTGTTTGAAGCCACTGGGTTTGCGGCAATTTGTTTTGGCCGAAGCCATCTCAGCTGTAGGGCAGGTAAGCAGCCGGCCCCGGGCCCCGGGGGGGTGGGGGTGGGGAGCGGTTCCCTACCTGCGCAGCCTAGGGCCGGGGAAGTCAAGTCACGTGGGAGGGGCACACCTCTGGTTCCCTCCTCTGCCCTCGACACCCGACACCCCGACACCCGATGTGGGGGAGCGCCCGCGCCAGGGAGGGGACGGAGAGGGGCTTGCTGTCCCCAGTTTCTTCCCGCTCCCTCCGCTCCCTCCGTCCCCCCCACCCCCTTCCCCCTGGAAAGGAAAATACTGGTTTTCTAACAGCTGTCTGTATGATCTCACTTCGAGCGTGTCAACCCGCTTGCACGAAGCGGTTTCACACTCCTGGTCAGTGTCGCAGGCCTGCGGGGGGGTGGGAGGCCGTCAGCACTGAGCTGCGTCTGCCCTGCTCACACCTCGCTCCCGCACCCCTCTTTCTCGCGCCTTCCACTCCTTCTCCCTGCACTCCCGCACCCTTTGCTCTTTGCTGCCATCTCGTGGTGGTCGGGAGAATGAACTTGGCGCGAGCGGGAAGCAGGAAAGCGCTAGAACTGGCTAGGGGTGCTTAAAGCCACTGTGAAGAGATCATTCTGAACCGGGATCCAGACAATAAGGTGTCTTTAAACAGTCTGTTATTTCCACACCTGTTCGTTAACTACTCACTAGGAGCAGAAAAGGGAAAGGTAACCAGTGGCTCTAAAACAAGCCTAGGGACGGTGGACGGACTTTAGAATTAATCCACTGAGGTATTTCTGAAATCATTCTATGCTGTGTATTCTGGTGAGAAACGGGTCTTTCCCGTTGACCTTGAATGTGGCCGAGAGGGACTCAAGTCTTTGGGTCTGGTCGGCTTTCCCACTTTGAAGAATTCCCTGTTAAGAGGCTAATGCAGGAGATCCTAAAATATTACTGGAACTGTATTCATGGACTGTGAGGCTTAATGTGGTTCAGATGACAGGGGCGCCCGGGTGGTTCCATCGGGTAAGCATCCGACTCTTGATTCTGGCTCAGGTCATGATCTCAAAGTTTAAGTGTTCAAGCCCCATGGGGGGAGAGGGCTCTGCATTGACAGCGCAGAGCCTGCTTGGGATTTTCTCTCTCTCGCTCTCGCTCTCGCTCTCGCTCTCGCTCTCCCTCCTTCGCTCACACCCTCTCTCTCAAAAAAAAAATAAATAGGGGGA